CAGTTATCCTTGTTCCAATATTTATGGTCCTGACTGTAACTAGATATGGTCGCTTAATATTTGCCTGAACCAATTATTCAAACTTACAGGGCATCAAACTGAATATGGGCAGTACATTTAGCAAATAATTTCATTTACTCAGTTCAGATTTTACCAGCCTAGGCTATCCAGATCTGCTGGAATTGCAATTCCCCAAATTTCCTGCCAGTGTAACAGTTTCAATATATCTAGAGGATGCCACATTGGGAAGACCTGGGATCAAGCAAAAATGAATGAGCCATGTGCACTATATAGAGTTATTAGTCAGCTTCTATTTTCTATACAAGCTTACCATCCTGTGTAAATACTGTCAGGATATGTGAAGTTTTTGAAAAGCCTTAGCTAAAGTAAAGTAACATTATTTCCTGAGAATCTGTTAACTAAAGCTTCACTCTTCAGTTAAACTAGCAAGATCAGTGTCAGACTTCTCTTGACTAAGCAAGAATAGATTTTCAAGGACACAAAAGCTCAGATAACTCAGGTTATTGTATGAAAGCTAAAGAATCCACTAGGAAAGAACTCCTTCAACTGCTGTGAGTCAAATTCAAGACTTATTCATACTGAAATCAAGGTCCACATTCTTGCACTTTTTTTTCCTGTCTATGTGATATTATGGCCTAGAAGCCCATAACATGGGATACTCTTACTCTTACACACTCTTCAGGTAGCCACAGGTTTGACCTGTCTCTCAATTAAGTAACAGATTAATCTGATATCAGGTCTTTTGTTTGTGACCATCTGAAGTAGTGATATGCCCCTTCTGAAAAGCCCTCCCTAGATCCCTTCTTGAGAAAGGTTGCTGAGAGAGTGGTAAAGTTCCAACTATAGACTGCCCTAGAGGAAATTGATTATTTTAACCTGTTTCAGTCAGGATTCAGTCCTGGGCATGGGATTGAAAACTGCCCTGGTTGCCCAGTGGATGATCTACATCAGGGGACTGGGAAATGCTCCCCTCCTGATTCTTCAGACTTCTGAGCGGCCTTCAGTTTCATTGATCATAGTACCCTTCTGGAATGTCTACAAGGATTGGGAGTTGAAATTACTATGCTGCAATGGTTCTGCTACTTCCTAAGTGGATGCTTCCAGATGGTGAGGGGAAGAAGAGGTTGATTAGGCAAAGGTCCCATAGGTTTTGTCTCTTTTTCCCTCTACCTTTTAACATGTACATGAAGCTGTTGGGAGAGATCCTCTTATAGCTTTACATCACCACTGTGGTCTGGGTCACATAGATGGTGGAAGATTGACTTGGTGCCTGAAGGCTACAAAGATTTGATAGGAAGAATCAAGCTGAGATTGAATCATTACAAAATGGAGGTGCTGTTTGTCCAGAGACAACTGAGTACACAGCTTGTTCCAGTATTAGCTCTGAACAGGAAGGAGTTCCTCTGAAGTAACAGTCCATGGCTTAGAGAGTGAACTAAGGGAGAGGTTTGTTCAACTTTGGCTGGTGTACCTGCTGTGGTCTTTCTTGGAACCTGATGCCCTGGCAATGGTTATTTCCTTATTACCTCTTAGATTGACTGCTGCTTTGGAAAACTACTTGCAAATTGCAAATCCTACTGGTGAGAACTACCAGTGCCATGTCATACTGGCATTGTGGTTGCTCCACTGATTGCCAATAGGCTTCCAAGTACAACTCAAAGTGCTAGTTTTAATACATAAATCTCTGTAAGGCTTGGTACCCAGGTATCTGCAGAATCACTCTGTGCAGGAAGAATCAATTGGTCCAGTGAGGGCATCCCAGAGGGAGATGTTTCATTATATGACCTCCATTATAGAAGTCCTTGTACCTAGAGATCAAAATCATGCTTTCTCTAACCGTATTTCAGAAAGCAGACCAGACCGTAATTTACAGTAGAGCCTTTGATGGTTACTGTTGGCTATAATACTCTGATGCCAAGGCTATACTCTTGAGTTATATGAAGGTTCTTTTTAGAAATTTGCAAATTGCCATGAGTTGACTAAAGTTGGTGGTCTAGAAAACCAGTAAATAACTAAATAAACATCAAGAAATCAAAGTTACATCTTAGCTAAATTTGTAAATGCCAACAAATGTTGTACTGTAATATAGCTTTTAAAATATATTTAAAGCTAATTTTTTAAAAAAAATCTTTAGCTGTTTGAAAGAATTTTAAAATTGTATATGATGCCTGTTTTCTACAATACATTTTGTTTTGAGGAAAAATTGAATGTTGCTGATTATTCAAATAATTGAAACTTTTTAAAGAACAGTTCCTTTGTTTCTGAAGATTTGCACATAAAAATGGCCCAGGTCAGACAAAAGAGAAAGAGTTCATTTTTAACATTTGTTTTAAAAACTCAACATACAAGAAACAGATGAAACTACAGATTCATACATATTTAAGCCATGCATTTTAGCACAGATCAGATTTATTGCTCAGTTGATTTGATTTGAGACAACACCTCCTACAATGTTCTCAACCTTGTGTTTCACTGCATTTAAAAACATTTTGTACCCAAAGCAGCTTACAATCAAACTATTGTTACAATATACTTAAGAAGACAGCAGCATCAGTGAATTACAAACCATCAATGGGATGTGAACTTTGCAATTCGTTCTAAAAACCAATCAGAGAATTCTGCATTTTAGGGGATCAATCAGTGTAAAAGACCACATAACGATTCAGCACAATGTCTACTTAATGTCTTAGGATCTCCCTTCTTTATATTTCTCTTCAGTTTAAGTTTTACTCTACTGAGCTGGGATAATTTTTTCAATGACCAAGATTTTACAAAAATATACAAATAATTTAATATAATTTATTGGCCTTAATAAAATTAATTAGCAATAAGGAGGAGGAAGAGGAGGAGGATTAGCCAAGTATTCTCCCCTGAAATCCACTGTATGGTGAAAAGTTTGGTAAGCTTTTCTTTGTTTCCTAATACATGTCCAGGGAAAGCGTCTCAACATGTCCAAATACAGTGGTACCTCGGAATACGAACTTAATCCGTTCCGTGACTCTGGGTGTATCCCAAGTTGGTCGTAACCCGACGCAAATTTCCCCATAGGGTTCAATGTAAATCTGGTTAATCCATTCCGCCCTCTGAATTTGGTTGTACCCCGAAGCAAATTTTCCCATAAGGCTCAATGTAATTACTGTTAATCCGTTCTGGCCTCTGCAGACCACACGTCAGGGGCGGGAAAACGGCCAGGCGCTGCGTGGCGGGGCAGGAAAACGGTTGGGTGCCGCACCGCGCGGCAGGAAAATGGCTGGGCGCCGCGCGGCAGGAAAACGGCCATGGACCACGTGTCAGGGGCGGAAAAATGGCCGCGGACCATGTGTCAGGGGCAGAAAAATGGCCACGGACCACGTGTCAGGGGCGGAAAAATGGCCGCGGACCATGTGTCAGGGGCAGAAAAATGGCCACGGACCACGTGTCAGGGCAGAAAAATGACCATACCCCGAGGCAGAGTTCGCACATCGAGGTAAATTTTTGCGGCCGGAGCTGGTCATAACCCAAAAAGTTCGTTAGTAGAGGTGTTCGTATCCCGAGGTACCACTGTAATCAGAAGCACATCTCAACTGTGACTTTGCATTATAAATGTTATCTTTTCTCCTTTCTTATATACAAGGTTAGAAGTTCCTTGTTTTTGTGAAAAACGATGTTTAGTGGGGACTGGATGAAATGGAATGCCCTGGTTATTAATAAACCTGCAGCAAAAGCTTGTGTTTGCCCATTCTCATGATATCAAGTCATGATTTGGTTCTAGCTACTATCTCCAATGATCTCCATATTAAACAGAACCTGAAATCGAGATTTGTAAATCTCAGATTAAAGGGTTCTCGGCCTAGCATTTGCCATATGTAGAATCAATGGAGATGTAGACCACAGTTAAACCTAACAAGAGAAAAGCAATGCCTGTTTCAAATGTTGGCTCTTAATTTACCAATAACACTTTGCATCACAAGCCTTGCATATACATCAGCTTAATTCAGAATACAGTCCATGAATATAAATTTATTTAAAGATAACTTTTTTCTTGCTCTGAATAATTTTCTGCATTTTTTCTTCACAGCTTCTTATGGTTAGCAATACTTAGGACAAATTTGGTTCTTTGACTGCTAAAAACTGCCCTTGCCATTTTGTCACCTGGAGTCAAGCTCCCATGAAATCCTCATCTCTCCTTTCATAGTAATCAGGACTTTATTGTGTTAAAATAAGCAGAAGTTTTCCAAAAAGAAAAGTCCTATTCTCAAAGATGGTTTCAAAGGAGAAGAGACAGCACATAGCATTGGTCAAAATTTTTACTTTCAAGAAAGAGATTAATCAAAAGAACGTTCTTTGTTTTCAATGGCTGGCAGAATCATCCATAGCAGAGTTCAATAAAGCCAATTTATCTGTTGCTACCAATCCCTCCTTCCCATTGGAAATACTTAATGTAGCCATGTGTACTGGATGACCAGTGTTAAATCCTCAATTCTGCCTCAATATATTTGTTAAAGATAGCAGAGGCAAATAAAAGTAACCATAATAATGTGAGCAATTCCAAACAGGATGGTAGGGAAAGATACACCATATGAAAACTATCTCCTGGCAGAACCCTCATATGAAACATCATGAATGCCCCAGAATTCATGATGAATTCCCCTCAGGTACCTCTATATTCCCTTTCCTAGCATTTCTCAAATACACTCTTGTCTTGCTCCATTCTTCGAACCTACTGCTTGCAATGTACATCTGTCTCCTTATACCAGGAAAGGGTTAGGGTTAGCTGTTGCCCTCCAGATTACACTGAACTGCTAAGCATTCTTGCCACTAGGTCATGCTGTTTTATGATCTGGTTTGTCAAGATTACATGATATACTAACGTATATTCCATAGAGCACTTTTTATAATCACAAGGACCACTGAATATGGTTGTATAAGTTTAGCTACAACTCTGTTTAGTGTTTCAGGCTGTTGATTGAAACTAGTCTTGTGAATTTATTAACAAGTACCTGGGGAAGAAGGTCTGGCTTCAGTCTTCTTAATGCACTTCCTGTAAGATGCCTTGGGTTCAAGTTACAGCTACACTCCCATTCACAAGGAGATGGCGATATTGGTGTCTGCTCTCTAAATAAATAATAATAATAATATTAATAACAATAAAACAATGTATAGTCAATGCAATTAATCAAGATCAAGCTATCAAATATTAATAATTGAAGATTTGTAGTTACTTTTAATTGTGGATGTTGAGTGCAAGATAACAGTTCTGCCTAGCAAATGATTATAGAAAACATTTCTCTTTTTGACAGATCTCTTCTGTTGCTTAATATTATACATGATAACACTACACATTTATACTACAATTAAAGAATATAATACATCAATAAAAATAGCAAATGGGCCTATTAGAACCATGTTTTTAAACTACTGTCACACTGGTTTCATATCTACAAATTCCTGTGAAACAATAACTAGACTCACATATTGTATTAGGCCACAATTCAGTTTTTTTAGCTCAGTGTAATGTGAGAATCCACCCACTGTGGCTTAACAAATATTATGAATCAAGCCTTTATTGTGTATTGCACCTGGCTTTAAAACACCCTAAAGAGAACACTGAATTATTCAGCAAACCAAGGCTGAAAAATCCTAACTCAGTATAATGTATGAATTCAGCCAATGTTTGAATTCAATGTTTGCAATGTCCTGGGGTAGGAATAGTTAACACCAGATCCATTTTGTCAAGGAGCTTGGCATGGTAAACTACAAGAAGTCAAAGTATTTTAAAATCATTACCACCTGTTCTGGATACTGAAAGAATGACTGAACTGTGGCCTAGCACATTATGTGAGCCTAGTTATTGTTTCACAGGAATTTAAATTCAGAACTATGAACCACTTCTGCAATGCAAAAGAAAAAGAAAAAAGGAAATGCAGGAAGAAGACACAGATTTGCACAAAATCACATCTACTTCTTGATCCAAACAATTATACATTAAAAAAAAGTATTTATGCTATAAATAATAGTAGAGAAATCTGAATAGATACATTGGACTCCTGGTCATTCTGCTGTCCAGGTGCTAACTGTTGATGGATAGCTTCAGGATTTCCATGCAATCTGTTTTATAGTTCTCAGTCTTGAAGCTAAGTTGGCTTACACAACATTAAACTAGAGAATTTTTGTCTGTCTCATCTCATGCATAGCTAGCCTGTGATGGAAGATGGAGTACAGCAGAGACTGGCAACGTAGTGCCCAGGACACCTCTAGATAGTATCTTCAGAATTGCCAAATAACTTAAAAACTATGTAAATTAATCCCTTTAAATGAGCAAAATATCACAAGCTCACCGCATTTCACAAGATTTTACACATCAGATCTTGCAAGATTACAGAGAAATGCCAAAATCCTGCAAATGTCAGTGGTAACAAGAAGGTTTTGTCATTATTATATGAAATTGTGCAAGTGAGATTGCTGAAATCTTGTGACACTTTGGATATTTTTATTTTGTTTTACAGATTTTTATTTTTTACAATTACACAGTTGTGCCTAGTACTTGAAGAAGTTGCTCACTCTTGGAGAAGAGGAACAAGCACCTCCTAAATCTAGTTGTTAATTCAAATGAAAAGCACTTTGCAAGTGGCTAGACAAAGAATGTTTGTATTCCTATTTTATATGCTCTGGAACAAATTTCATCTTGAAAACAAGTTCTAGAAATGGACTTTGTTCAAAACAAGCCCAGCCATGCAGTCCCAGCCTTTTGTTCAACCAGGCACTTTGCAAGTACTCTAAGCATAATTTCTTCATACAAGTAGGTCACACATAATGATTTCAGAGTCAGTTCCAAACACTAACCTCTTCTCCTCAGCCACCTACCTACAGGTGTTTCCTGTAGAGAGATGTCAATTAAGTCCAACTTTTAATTAATTCCAAGCCTACTACACAGGCTTCTCTCTCTCTCTCTCTCTCTCTGGCTGTTTTTCCTCCATCCATCTACTCATCACATACAATGCCATTAAAAGGATAATTCACCTTCTAGCACCCTTACTTATTCATAGCTTTGTGCTGAACAACCAGCTGGATGACTCTGATCCTTTCCCACCACACCCTAAACAGAACTGGACTGCACTTGTTAACCTGGAAGTTTCCACCTTTATATAGCTATGAAAACCCTGTATGCATACAGATATCCCTAAAATAAATTACTTATTTTAATCTCTATTTCACAAGCTGGTTATAGGAACCAGATAATAAAATCAGAAGCATGTTGATATTTTCACCATTTGTATCTCTCTTTTATTTACTAGCCTGCATTCATTTTCCACCTTAAGCTAACAATGCCAGAGAAATTACATCCCATATACCTTCTATACATCAAAACATCAGACTCTCCAAGTCTGGCAAGCTCTCAACGCTCACAACCTCACCCCCCAAAACTGGGCACCAAAATATTGATTTCCAGAAGTGCAATTTTTGGCTTTCTTTTGTTTGATCAAAAGAAACAGCGTCAGCTAGGCTTAATGAACTTACTCTCCATTAACTTTCCAACCCCCAGTTCACCAAAAAGCAATTAAAATTAGAGCCACATCGTCTATAGTGATATTTGCGCTGTTCCAATCACACTACCTGCTACCTATGCTGCTCCAAGGCCAATTATTTATTCAAAAATAGAATACAATTGTGGCCTACCTCAACAAAAGCATAATTAACCCCACTCTACATCTTTCAGGAGGACTGCCAATTTATTTGGAAGGTACCCATTGGGGAAAAGTATTGAATATTATGTATATCCAGTTAACCTATACAAATACATGAAGCTTTAATTTTCTTATTCTGTTTGCATATTTTATTTTAAATATGTTATTTTAAGAATAGTTTGGGAATAAACAATGCAGCTAAAGAATAGGGATGTGTCAACATTTTCCCCCAACAGAGTCTGCAGGACAGCTTGAAGGTCAATTAATAAAGATACTTTATCTCTGAATCTAAAATGGGGAAAGAGAACCTACTGAATTTCTGATTAAGCCCCAATAATTTGCCATATATCAACTAAAGGCACAGAAGTGAAGAACTGACAGGAAAACTGTTCTATGGAATCAAGAGGTTGTTCTGAGCTTCAGAATGGGAAAGGGGAGGGATATAAATGTGTTATATGAGTCAAAGACAAACAGGCCATAGAAATTTTCCATGCTCTGTGTCTCAAATCCATATGAAGCTATTATAGGCACATTTTAAAAACAGTTTGCAGAAGAGAGACTGCAATATACATTTCAAATGAAGTGAGATAAGCAAGCCAAGACAAATCAAAACCTACACGAGAACAGCTAAGTCAAAAATATTCAGCTTTTCTTGTCTTCAGCAATAACAATCCTTCTGAAGTTGTTAAATTAAAAACATTTCTTGGCAGTATGTTTTTCCAATCTGTTGCCTTTCCCAATCCAAGGAACTTCCATTTTAAGGAAAGGAAGATTTAATCAGAGCAGGGATATTTCAAAAGAAAAAGGACCTCCATTTTATTTTAAAGTTCTGTTAGTCTTTATGAGTATACATTTGTATACAGGGTGTACAGGGTGGAGTTCCTGTCTCTATATAACAAACAGCCAATAAGAAAGTTAGACTGCATTTGATACTGATTTATTCATTTGCTTTATTTTAGAGTAGACATATAGAGAATTGTACCCTGAAGCCAAGTGCTGTGTGTGCAGGAGTCTGACCTTAACATGCTACAATCACCCTCACAGCGCAGATGTCCTCATTTCAAAGAGAAAAACATACCTAGCAAGTCATTTTGAGATGTAAAACAACACAGTACAGGTAGTCTTTGCTTAGTGACCACAATTGGGAGTGACAACTCCATCATTAAGTGCCACAATCACTAAGCGGAAAATCATATGACCATGACAGACTTATGTCACTTCCCATTCAGTCGTTAAGCAAGACATCACATGACTGCGACTTGCAATTTTACTTCCATGTTCTCCATTAACTCTGCTTGTTGGAAGCTGGTTGTGAAGCACAGGAATGGAGATCACATGACTGTGGGACACTGCGACAGTCATAAATATGAGGATTGGTCGTAAAGCTGGTTTTTTTTACACGGTTGTAACTTTGAACGGTTGCTAAACAGTAAGTGAAGACTACCTGTAATTCATCACCATACATTTTTCTTTCAGTTTATCCTAGGTTCTATCCTATTTGTGTCTTCCAAAACTATTCTGCTGATTCTTGAATAAAGGCAACTTGCATTTGAATTATATGCTTGCAGCTATTGGAGTCCAAGATAATGCTGATACTAAATTAAAATTAACATTCGCAATACCACCCTTGATAAGTCTGCTTAATAAAAAACATTTAAATTAAATGGGATTTACTCCTACATAAGTAGGTAGACTCACAATTCCAGACACACTTAGAATGCAATTGTATTCCCAATATGGTGCCCTTCAGAGATGTTTTTCCACAACTTCTGTAACTCTCATCCAGCATAATTAAAGGCCTATGTTTGGGTATTACAAGAATTTTTAGTCTAATACATGTGAAGGTTATGTTGGTGGGACAGCTGCTCTACTACTTTACTTGAAAGCACTGTAAGAACTTAATTCTAATAAAGTTATCACAAATATTTAATTCCTTTACAACTTATTTCCAAGCTATAAAGCTCTGCTGTGGCTTTAAACTTTTAAAAGTTTACTTTATATCAATATATTTATGGGAAGACATGTTCTCTTACTTATATATAACAACAGCCAGCTTTTCAGTGACAGTTAATAATAGAGGGAATAAAAAAGAATTACAAAAAGACCATGAACATCCCAGTGTTGATGGTTTATTTCCAACACAGAATGTAGAATAAGACATTGAATGAACACGCTTAGAATTGTATTTTTCGTTTTAGCACTTATAGGAGGCATACAAGTCTGAAAATAAATTGAAAAAAAAATTATACTGGAAGTGAATGAGCAAAAGAGGCAATATGGTTGTTAGTGTTCTGGAGAAACCAAGCTTCATTCAGCCATAGAACCCATTAATCCTAATCTATCTCCCTGGGGAAGATGGTGGGTGAGAATCATACACACTCCGTTAGCAATTTGGAAGAACAAAATAAAAATGTAATTAAAATAAAGCGT